ACCAGCTTGAGTTCTTATCAACCATCAGATGGATCTGAGATGTCACGCTTTGTTGACGTTTGCACAATGGCTTTCTCTATAGCTTCGATCTACCTGCACAATCTGCAGCCGCAATCCTCAGTTATCTCTGCTAACCATCCGATGGTTTTGAGATATCCCACTTTTCGGGCTTTCAAACGAGCACTTCTTTGACAAAGCATCTGCAGCTGCTATTTATAACTCTTACCAACCATCCGATGGTTCTGACATACCCCGCTTGTCTAGGTTTTCGGCAACTACTCTCTCCATTTCTCGGATATGATCACTTAACTCGGCTCTCTTATCCATTGAAACTTCTGCAGCGACGTCCCGCTTTGCAGGTGGTGGTGAACGAGTGGGAGCTTTGGATGGTGAAATAGTTTCGCCGAGATTTGATTTGAGAATCGGTGTAGTTGTTTCCCAGCCAAAGGATTCACCGATGCATGTGAAGTGTGAGCGGCAGATGAAAGTACAATTTTGATCAATAGATAGACATGCTCATGTCCATCACTTTTGCACTCCTGTGTGAGTCCAATGATGAAGGAAAGAGTCAAGCAGAACATTTAATTTTTTTAGTGACTTTCTTCTTGCATAAAGTCACGCTAATATGGAGTATACGTAGGCGTGCGTGCGTAGGGTAGCATACATCCATTGTCAGCCAACTTGATTACTTATCCTTTTGGATGACCATGATGAGAAAAGACTTGAATTTGAATAGCCCGTTCAAAAAAAGCATGTCACATCATACCTGCTGCTCCAGTTACACATGCATCGATGGGTCATTTGACTGGCCATGTCAATAACGATAGGTGCATACACAAAACTTTCACCATCTAAAGGTTTGACACCTTCACTCATACCTGCAGAGCAGAATGGTGCCGCAGAGGTCTCAAAAGACGGACAAGAGAGCAGAGTGCAGCAAACTTATCAAGGCTGCAAAGAAAGCACTTACCGAGAAGCCGGAAAAGCGGGATATGTCAGATCCGCTAGATGGTCAGTAAGAATTACGGATCGCAGCTGTAGATTATTTGTCAAAGAAGTGTTCGCGCAAAAGCCAAGAAAGGCCAGAATTGTCAGAAACATCGAATGGTTGGTAAGAGTCATAAATAGTAGCTGCAGATGATTGGTCAAAAAGTATTCGTTTGAAAGCCAGCAAAGCGGGATATCTCAAAACCATCGGATGGTCAGCAGAAAGAACTGAGGATTACGGCTGCAGATTATGCAAATAAATCCAAGCTATCAAGCAAGCCATTATTCAAACGTCAAAGAAGCGTGATATCTCAGATCCATTTGATGGTTATAAGAATTCAAAATGGTCAAACATAAAGCAGCAGCGATGCAACATATCAAACATATTAAGGCTGCCAAGCATCAATTGCTGGGAAGCCGAAAGAACGTGATATCTTCATTCCATCGGATGGTCCAAGGAAAGTCTAGAACTTTAGGTGATGCTAGCGAATGGATGGATGCTGATATGGCGTATCATTGTGTAGAAAAATTGTGTCCTAAAGTGCCGTGCCTGCTTTCAGGTTTTCACCTCGAGCTTCCTTTGCTTCTGCGTCTGTAGAAGAGGTGCTATTTGAAATGTCTGTGTCCTTATCATTGCCTTGACC